GCCCGCCGCCCCCGCCGTGGTGGCCTGCGGTCTCTGCGCTGAACTAGGCGGCCGCCGGTTACAGCGCGGGAGAGGGGCGGTCGCCTAGCAACCGGAGGTGCTTAACAACAGAAGAGCCTCGCCAGGGGAGGCCCAAGTGCGAGCAGGGAGAGAAGGTAAGAGGACCGGGGGAGCCGGGAGCTCACACTGAGCCCGAGCTCCCTCCCTCACTCCCGAGCCAGGGCTGGGTATTAATAAAAACCAAAGACGATTATTCTGGGGAGAGGCGGATTGGGATGGGCTCCTCCCACTAGGGTGGTCCCTCACACATCCGCTTTTCCCCCAAGAGAGAGCCGCAGGGAATGTGATGGGCAGATGGGGGGCAGCTGCACCACCCCTACCCTCGACCCCCCAGTGCCAGCCCTTATCCACTCTGCGAGAAACTAACTAGTCTGTCCTCTCCCTGGATGGAAAACAGGGCTCCTTCTTTTCTCAGATCCCCCACAGGTCCTGTCCAGAGCTGGGCGGTGGGACAGGGGGGTGGACAGGGAGCAGCCCAACAAGAATTGGTTGCTGGAAGTAGGGGTGGAAACTGCATGAAAGGTCAGCTTTTCCTCCTAAAAGCAACTCACCCACCGTGCACTAGACACACACACATACCCAGGAGACACCGTTATTCCCTTTCACTTACTACAAGATCTGCAAGGCCCTGGGGTTTGTATCTGTGGGTGGATGAGTGAAAGGAAACCTAGTCAATGCCTCACACAAATTTGAATAAAGGGCTGTTTCCAAGAAGACTACCTGCTTGAAGGTTGTTGTTGTTGTTGTGTGCCGTCGAGTCAGCCCTGACTCATAGCGACCCCTCCTTGGGTTTCCGAGGCAGTATCACTACGGAAGTAGGATTGCCCAACCTTCCTTCCGAGGAGTGGCTAGTGGGTTTGAACCGCCAGCCGTCTGGTTAGCAGTCAAGTGCCTTAGCCACTATGCTACCAGAGCTCCCTGCTTGAAGGTAGTTTTAGTGAAAAATGGGCTAGAGCTTTTCCTTTACAGGGGGGTGTTTGTCTATAACAGGATCCCTGACTGGTCCTCTGAAGCCTTGTTTTCCCTCTCTCCAGCAGAAAGGAGGTGTCTTGAAACAGGCCTAGGGGTTCCTGACCCTTTCTGGTCCCTGCACCATGACCACAGTTGGTGTCAAGCCGAGCCAGCGCTTCCGGCTATCCGACTGGTACACCAATAGCTACCTGCTGTCCACCAATGCTGAAAGGCAGCGAGATGCATCCCATCAGATCCGCCAGGAGGCCCGTGCCCTCCGAAACGAGACCAACAACCAGGTGGGGGGCCGGAGCCTAGTTGGGTGGGCCTGTGGATAGCCCCGGCAACTGACACCCTCCTTATCTGCCCTGTCTCACCCAGACCATTTGGGATGAACATGACAATAGGACTCGACTGGCAGAGAGGATTGATACTGTCAGTCGGTGGAAGGAGATGCTGGACAAGTGTCTAACGGATTTAGATGCAGAGATTGATGCCCTCACACAGGCAAGGAGCTAGGGCTGGGTGCCAGGAGACGCTGCTTCAAGGACACCCCCTTATGCCCCCTTTCTGGGTCAAGGAGCCTTTGATGGGGTAATTGGGTAAATAGTGGCGTGTCCATCTGAGTCACTCACTGCCCCCTCTGTTCAAGTGGAGATGGGGCTACTGCCCCGTGCTTGTCTCCACCAACCTCCCTGTGCCGTCTCTTTTCTAGATGAAAGAGTCAGCAGAGCAAAATCTGCAGGCCAAGAACCTGCCTCTGGATGTAGCAATCGAGTGCCTGACCTTGCGGGACAGTCGGCGAGACACTGACGTGGTGGCCGACCCTGTGGAGGATGAGCTGCACAAAGAGGTGGAGGTTATTGATGCCACCAAGAAGGCGTTGCAGCAGAGGGTTAACCAGGCCTTCGAGCAGCTCTGGTAAGGGAGAGATGTGGCATTCAGATGTTCACATGCACTTGGAGGTCATGTGTCTTGAATGTGGAACATATGTATTGTGGAGAACAAGTAACTGGTTCTTAAGGTAGAGTTTCCTACACCCATGGCAGACATCACTAATTGATCACACCACCATTTCTGCTACCTGGACATGATCTCAGAATACTTCTCACAACCCCACTCTAGGCAGCCATAATGAACTGACTGGAAGCAGCATAAGAGATGAAGCCCATGTGCTACCCCCCGAATGCTTTATGGTGTGTGTGTGTGCTTGTGTGTGCCTTTGTGAATGTAGCTACATACCCTGTGGTGAAGTGATTTTATTCTGGGAAGCTCATCCAGCTGTGCTGGTCTTTGTGCTTCACTATCTTCTGCTGCGAAGGGTCATCCCAGACTCCCCATCACTCAACGTCCCTTCACTACAATAGGGTCTGCACCCTGGGGTCTTAGGGGATGGTTTCTGATCATGTCTGCCCCTTCTCCAGCCTCCTGCAGGAAGTCCGACAACAGCTCAATTCTGACCATCGGGGCAAAATGGAGACACTGGAGATTGACAGAGGCTGCCTCTCTCTCAACGTCAACTCTCCAAACATCTCCCTGAAGGTCAATCCTACACGGGTCCCCAATGGGTAAGAAGAATTTTCCAATCAGTCTCTCTTTCTCCCTCTTCTCCTTCCACTGCTCACTCACAGGCATGTCCTTGTGACCCCATTATTCCATCCCACCTGCAGCTCCTCTACACTCCAGCAGTGGGATGACTTCAGTCAGTTCAACAAGAATCGGGCAGAGGCTGAGATGAAAGCAGCCATAGAGCTGAGGGAGGCCATTGCCCTAACTATTGCCGAGGTGACCAATGATGACTTACCCCAGCTCCCCGATGGCTAATGGGGTGGCGGGATGGCCCAAGTGTGCACTCAGGCCCTTATTCTTTGTTCTCTATTGGCCATGTGGCACCCTTTCCCTCACTTGAACAATATCCTCAGATAACCATGAGCTTATACTTTTCCTCTTGTCCTTCCTACTTCCCGTCCTTCAGACCAATAATGAACTTGAAGCCCAGAGGGTTGCAACGGAATTTGCCTTCAGGAAGCGGCTTCGGGAGAAGGAGAAAGTGTACAGTGAGCTCAGGTGGCAAGAGAAGAATGTGAGCCTTCATTTAATCTTCTGAGGTCTAGAGTTCCTGCAGTGGGATGAGGTGCCCAGTACCCTGCCAGGAAGCCCTGAACTGGGTGCAACGTGGTGGGTTCAATTGGTGGAGACTAGGTGCTCTGTCCCCTACAGACCTTGGAGGAGATTGCTGAGCTGCAGGAGGACATCCGGCACCTGGAAGAGGATCTGCGGAGAAAGTTCCTCAGCTTGAAGCTCTCACATACCCGACTGGAGTCCAGAACCTACCGGCCCAATGTGGAACTCTGCCGGGATCAGGTGAGAGGTATTCCAGTAGGCCACAGGGTCCCTTGCTAGAGTTTCCTCAGAATCACCCTCCATCACATATTCTTGGTGGAGTAAGGGTTCTGGGATACGGCAGCATCCAGGCCTATAGCTGACCTTAAACTCCCAACCTGCTCCTCTGCCTCCAGGCACAGTACGGCCTCACTGATGAGGTTCACCAATTAGAGGCAACCATCACTGCCCTAAAGCAGAAGCTGGCACAAACACAGTAGGTTTGAGGAGTGGGCAGAGGGGTAGGAAGACACTTCCCACCCATGGCCTGCTGTTTCCTTGGGTTTTATCTTCCTGACTAAAATCTGGGGGGTCCAGCCCAGACCTCCCAGCCTCATGCAGGGGTGGTGGGTTATTAATGCTTCCTCCCCAGGGATGCTCTAGATGCCCTGTTCAAGCACCTGGCCCGGCTGCAGGCTGACATCGCCTGCAAGGCCAACTCCCTGCTGTTGGACACCAAGTGCATGGACACCCGTCGGAAGCTGACAGTGCCTGCTGAGAAGTTTGTGCCTGAGGTGGACACCTTCACCCGCACAACAAACCGCACCCTGAGTCCACTCAAAAGTCGCCAGCTGGAGCTGGCCTAGCCTTGAAGGGCTAGTGAGAGAGGGAGGTTGGGTGGGAAATGGGAGAGGGGAGAAAGACTGAAACTAATAAATGCCAGTGTGCTGTGCCAGACTGTTCTTTGCTATTTTCAGTCAAAGATGGACCCTTGCCTTCCCTTGGGAGGCCTGTTGCTGTTAAGCGCCCCTGGAGTCAGCTCCAACTTACACTGACGCTATGTACAACAGAAGGAAACACTGCCTGGTCCTGTGCGATCCTCACAATCTTTGCTGTGTTTGAGCCCATCCTTGCAACCACTGGGTTAATACATCTCATTGAGGGTCTACCTTACCAAGCATTATATCCTTTTCCAAGGAATGGTCTCTTCTGACAAAAGTACGTGAGAGGAAGTCTGGCCATTCTAGCTTGTGAGGCGCATTCCCGCTGCACTTCTTCCAGAACAGATTTATTGGTTCTTCTGGCAGTCCACGGTATTTTCATTATTCTTCCGCAAGAATTCAATTCAAATGCATCGACTCTTCTTCAGTCTTCCTTATTCATTGTCTGGCTTTCACATGCATATGAGGTGATTGAAAATACCATGTTAGGAGCACCTTAGTCTTCAAAGTGATGCCTACGGTAAGCCAAGTAGGGACTAGCATCGCAGAGGGAGGGGTTAGAGCTTGGGCTAGGGCCGCCAAAGGACGGGTGCTTAGGGCACAGAGTGAGGCTTCAAAAAGCCAGTCACCATGCCTACCCCTTTAGTGGCTGTCACGGCCCGCTGTGACGCCGTTTACAAACGTCGAGAATGGGGACCAAAAACAGAAGCCTGGAGAAAAATATCTCAAATGGGGCTGGAGATGCCAACTGCGAATCCTATCAAACCTCGTCACGTACACGCGAGGGCTGCGCGGCGCCGCGACTCCAGGACGCTGGGCGGCGCTGTGGGCTGAGAAGCGGCGCTGCGGCTCCAAGCCACTGGAAGGCGCTGTGCGGCTCGAGGGCTGGGGGTACTGTGGTGAGCGCGACGACGACAACGGAAGTGGTGAGTAGTCCGAGCGTGGATGGCGGCGGCGGTGGCGATGACGGCGGCGGGCTATGGAGGGGCTGGGGCAGCTCGCTCCCTCTCCCGTTTCCGAGGGTGCCTCGCTGGCGCGCTGCTCGGGGACTGCGTGGGTTCCTTCTATGAGGCGCACGACACTGTCAGCCTGACGTCAGTCCTGCGTCACGTGCAGAGCCTGGAGCCGGACCCCGGCACGCCGGGCAGCGCGCGGACAGGTGGGCGGGACCGGGAGCACCGTGGGCGCGCACCAGGCGTCTTCCAAGGCGGTGCACCGCCCCAGGCTGGCGGGGGGGCGGGGAACGGCGGGGCGTGCTGGGAGTTTTCAACAGGTCCTCAAAGGGCCAGGTGAGGCGAGTAGTTTTCTCTGGGCGGGAGACGGAACCGGGGCCGGGCGAGCTCAGGAGGGAGAGAAACTACGGGGTGCGAACAAGATAAGGCTGGCGAGGGCAGCACGATCTGAATGTGGGTAGTTCGCAGGCACCTCAGCCTCAGCGAGTCTAAATACAAGCTTCCTATGTACATGTCTCTCCCAGAAACGTGCTTCCGAACACTTCCCGCCATGGGAATGGCAACACCATCTCCGCAGTGGCACAAGCTGGAAACCTGAGCGTCATCCTTCTAAATTGGGCTTGGTCCAACATACACACCTCTGCTGATTTTACCTCAGTTCTCTCCAGTTACTAACCCACCAGCCCATTCTCCGCGCGGCACAGAGTGTTCATTACAAAACAAATCTGGTCGTTTTATTGGGATAAAACTGCAGTGATTTCCCACTAACCTTAAGACAGTCAAATTCCATAAACAGGTCCCAACCAAGCCCTCACCTTTGTCTCAATTTCATCTTATATCACCCTTTATATGTGCTGTCTCTCTCCCTCTATCTATTCCCCATCTCCTTCTGTCAGCTCATCACCCCACTCTCAGCTTGGCTGTGTGTATTGGGTAAAACAGGATGTGATTATGATAGGAGAATAAGTAGGATGGTTAAATAAAAGAGCCGCAGTCAGAACCCTGGAGAACACTTATATTTAAATGGAAGGTGGAGGAGGGGGACTCGAAGGTAGGGAAAAACACTGAGAGAGGAGGAGAATCAAGAAAGAGTGATATCAACAAAACCAGAGGAAAGTGTGTCAAGATGAAGACACTGGTCACTGGTGGCATGCTATAAAGAAATGAGAGCAAGCCTAGATTTAGATAAAGCATTTTCAGATTTTGGTGGGTTAAGGAGGAAATGGAAAATGAGAAAATGGGGAGTATACTTTGAAGAGGAGGGAGATGAATTATAGTTAAAGTGAAGACAGGATGGAAAACCCAAAAAAACCCTATTGCCATTGAGTCAATTCCAATTCATAGTGACCCTTTAGGACAGAGCAGAACTGCCTTATAGGGTTTCCAAGGCTGTCAATCTTTACAGAAGCAGACTGACACATCTTTCTTTAGCGGAGCAGCTGGTAGGTTCAAACCACCAACCTTTTGGTCAGTAGCCAAATGCTTCAAACACTACACCACCAGTGCTCCTTGTATGTTTTAAGTTTGGAGGTGATTTGGGACCCTTTGGATGCAAGTGACAGAAAATAAAACTCAAAATGGTCTAAGCAAAAAGGTAATGTATGGGCTAATGTAACTGAGAAGTCCAAAGGTAGATCTGGCTTCAGAACCAGTTGTCATTCATTGAGTTGATTCTGACTTATGGTGACCCCATGTGTGTCTGAGTACAGCTATACTTCACAGGGTTTTCAATGGCTGATTTTTCATAAGTGTATTTCCAAGTCTTTCTTCGGATGCGCCTTTGGGTAGACTTGAATGTCCAATCTTTCACCTTGCTGAGCCCATAACTGTTTGTGCCCCTATGGACTCCAGGTCTTGCTTCAGCCAGATGAAGCCAGGGCCTCAAACCATACCCTTAACACTCAGTTCCTCTCTGTTGCTCTGTTCTGTGTTTGTTTTACTCTCTCTAGCAGACCCTTCCCGTGAGGTGATCCCCAATAGCTCCCAGCTCAGCAATACCAGCAGAGGAAGAGTTTCTCTTTGCAGTAGTCCCAACAGAAGTCCCAAATTGAGTCTCATGGGCCTGGCTTAGGTCATATGTCTGTTTATAAACTAGAGAATGGCTATGCTGTTTGGTCAGGTCAAAGGTGGGAATTAGCTCCACTGAGAGTGGTAGAGAATTGATTTTACTGCCAAAAATCAGAATGCAGTGGCCAAACACAGGGGGGCTGGGTGCTGCTCCACCACAGAGGGAAAGGTTGAGGATAGAGCAGAGGAGGGTGAAGAGGAAGGAGCAAGGTTCTGGGGAAATGGGCAGGGGTGGGCTTCACTTTAGACTAAAAGGGAGACTGGAAGTGCAGCTGTGGCTGAGATACCCAATAGCCTCTCTTCCTAGGGAAGTAGGAGCTGAGGGCCATCTAAGAGTGAGAAGGAGAGGGTGGAGTTAGAGGCTTGAGATACACGGAGAGATGATGGAATCGGGGGTGTGAAGAATGGAAAAGGGGCTCACTGGGGAATCTGCCTCATTCTTTATAACCATCTCTTCAAAGAAGACCAAGCCCTGTACCTAGCAGGCTTACAGCCTATTTGAGAAGTCACAAAATAACCAATGGCCCTGTTAGAAGGACCAGATCAGTGTTCACAGGCACTCAGAGGAAGGAGATAGGGTGGGATGGAGGAGGAAGAGCAGCGCCAGCCAGGAAGGACTTGACCCAAGTTCCAAGATTGGTTCTTGGGATGGGGCAGCAGTGGAATGGAAGAAGGAAAAGGCTAGACTGGGTCCAGCTTCGAATGTGAAGACAGTGAGTTTGGCCCTCATCTTGTAGGTAACAGCCAGCTGTTTTGAGCTGGAGAGTGAGATGAGTAGTGATATTCTACTCTCAGGAAGAATTTTCTGGCTGAATGTATGAGTTGGATTGGAGGGCGGGGAATGTGCAGGGGAGTTGAGAGGCTCCCCCATAGCCAAGCAGGCAGGAGGGAGGAGAGGTTTACTTCAGAAACCTGTAGGATATGGTGACTGACTCAGAATAAGGAATTGCTATGAACCCCAACATCTAGAGCCCCAGAAATAAAGGGAGTGAGAGGCTGACTTAAGGTCATTTTAAAGGTAGAAACTTTGACAGGAATAAGCAGGGGCCCAAGCCTTTATCCCCAGAGCCCTGCAGCTTGCTTTCATACCCCCTCTGCCCTCTCCCCACAGAAGTATTATACTACACAGATGACACAGCCATGGCCAGGGCTCTGGTGCAGTCCCTGCTGGCCAAGGAGGCCTTCGACGAGGTGGACATGGCTCACAGGTGAGGGGAGGTAACCCTAGGGTAAGACAGGTGGGCAGAGTCATTGCTCCCCTTGGCCAGAGCACTGATGTCCATGCACGTGTGGGATCCCCACCTCAGCAGGACACTGTTTCTAGGGCTGATGCTTCCTAAGCCAGACATGCCAGCACTACTGGTACAGGGTCCTCAGCACTCCAAGCCTCCCACTGTTCCCAAACCAGCCAGATCACTTTCTTCTAACCCTGAGAGCTGGTAAACCCCAGTTCTGTTTCCCTTCTCGCCCCAGGTTTGCTCAGGAGTATAACAAGGACCCTGACAGGGGTTACGGTGCTGGAGTTGTCACTGTCTTCAAGAAGCTCCTGAGCCCCAAGTGCTGCGATGTCTATGAGCCCGCCCGGGCCCAGTTTAATGGGAAAGGCTCCTACGGCAACGGGGGTGCCATGCGGGTAGCTGGCATCTCCCTGGCCTATAGCAGTGTCCAGGATGTACAGAAGGTACTCAGGGCTGGGCTCCGTCTCTCTTTCCCCCTCCCCTCTTCACCTTGAATTCTGTGACAGTGGAATTTTGCCTTCACTGCATTTTCCCTAGTTTGCCCGGCTTTCTGCCCAGCTGACTCATGCCTCCTCCCTGGGTTACAACGGTGCCATCCTGCAGGCCCTGGCCGTGCACCTGGCTTTGCAGGGTGAATTGTCCACTGAACACTTCCTCAAGCAGCTCCTGGGCCACATGGAAGAGTTGGAAAGTGATGCCCAGTCCCTCTCGGATGCCAGGGAGTGAGTACAGGTGGAGGTAGGGCTGGGAGCATATACATGAGCATGTGTGCATGTGGCGGGAAAGCTGCTGGCACTGCCATGAGGCTAAAACATGTTCTTTAGTTGCAGATTCTGCAGAGGGGTGGGAAGACGCTCCTTTGCCTTGGAGCATAGACCACCACCCTGCTCACACCTAACTAACCTGCTCCCACTTCTTCCTTTGTCAGGACAGCCCACTCCTCTGCCCAGGGCTCAGCCCAACCATATCTGCCTCGCCCTCACACACAGCCCCTTCCCCTTGCCTGCACCTCCACCTCCCTGGCTCTGACCTCCCTGATATCTCTCCCCACAGGTTGGGCATGGAGGAGCGTCCATACTCCAGTCGGCTGAAGAAGATTGGAGAGCTTCTCGAGCAGCACTCTGTGACCAGGGAGGAAGTAGTGGCAGAGCTTGGTGGGTAGACCCTGCCTGTGATTTGTTCCCCGACCCGTCATCCTCAGGGGTAGACTCTGGCTTAGGGAGGGGAGGAGATGGTGAAGTCATTCCTGCCATCACATTTTGCCCTGGGCTGATGTAACAGCCAGAGCCATGGTCAACAGGGCCCTTGGCAGGGATGTGAGCACAGCACCTTCTTGCTCTGGAGCACTTGACCTTCATCCTTCCAGATAAATATATCTAGAAGCAGCAGTTGGCCACCAGTTTTTATAGCTAGTGTTGAGGATGATATTACACTTCTGCTGTGTGCTAGGCACTGTCACAGCAGCCGTGGAAGGGAGTTACAGAGTTTACTCATTCCTTACCCTGTGGAGGAATCAAATCCAAGATAGGGGCGTCTTAGTGGTTAAGCAACTTTCCTAGTCACACAGCCTAGGTGGTAGAGCCAGGATTTGAACCCAACAAGTCTAACTCTAGAGCATATGATTTAATCACAGCCCAGCAGGAAGCTGAGAGTCGTGACTTGTGGCAAGTGTCAGGAAGTCCAGGGCATAAGGTGTTAAGTCCACACCCCACAATCTGGTTTCCCCACAGGAAATGGCATTGCTGCCTTTGAGTCTGTGCCCACCGCCATCTACTGCTTCCTGCGTTGCATGGAGCCTGACCCTGAGATCCCCTCCACCTTCAATAACCTCCAAAGGACTCTCATCTATTCCATTTCACTTGGTGGGGACACAGACACCATTGCCACTATGGCTGGGGCCATTGCTGGGGCCTATTATGGGATGGAACAGGTGGCAGAGAGCTGGCAGCAAAGCTGTGAGGGCTATGAGGAGACAGACATCCTGGCCCAGAGTCTGCATCGGCTCTTCCAGAAGAGCCTGTGAGGGCCACAGCCGCTGGGCTCTACCATGGTCAGTGGGACCAACTACAGCTCAGACTGGAAATCCTGAGGTTCCTTGGCTTGGCTCCCCTACCTCAGTCTTCCTGAGGGCACTATTGGGCCTGGGGTGTCTGGGGGAGGTCATTGGAACAGTGAGCAAGGGGTGGGTGCCTCCCTGGTGCTGAGTTCCTGGTTTGTTGCAGAGCTTCATGGTTCTTCCCCGGTTCCTCAGCCAGAAGACATGGGGAACCAGAACCAGTTTTATTTGGGAGGAATATTTCTGGCATTTTTCTTTACTATCTAGGATATGGGATTTTCTCCTGTTGAGTTTTAGCCAATTTTCCAGAAAGGCTGTCTTTGACTAGACAGGGCCTCTGAGGCAGCACGTCTGTATGGATCAAGGACACAGGTGTATGCATCTAGCTGATCTGGATACACACTTGGCCCTTGGCTGTTGTGGGTTTAATAAAAGCTTCCAGTGGAAGTACCGAGCATAAGCCGTTCTTGCTAAATCCCGCTGCTGTTTCCTGTGTTTCTCCATCTGCCTTGAGTAGGTTCTTCTCCCTAGGCAGTTTGACTTTCTCAAGCCTACTGCCTCCATGTCTGGGCTGCGCTCTCCCACCAGCTAGGAACCCAAGACAATGAGCTTGTGTGTTGTGGAGGCAAATTCCTCCAGTTCTTCCAGCTGATGGCGTTTGGCCAGGAAGGGTAGAGCAGGTGTGATTTGGCGATGTTTCCAGTTGAAGCTCACTTATAGTGGCCCAGGCAACTGGACCACATGTTTGCCGAGGCAGCAGACAGGAACAGGCCAGATTTTCCTCCTCAGAGCCTGACTTCTTCATAGGTTGCTTCCCAAATAGGACCCAGACCTAGCTGGGCCAAGAAAGGAAACCCTGTCAAAATGGCAGAAGGCCTTTTCTACCACCAGCTTTTAGGCAAGGAGCGCACATCGTCTCGGAACGCCTGGGCAGACTGAGTGCTGTGTGCTTCGTGCTATATCTTGCGCTCCAGTTAAAGGTCTTGCCCCACAAGGAAGTTTCGCACAGCATCCATTTTGAGGAATAGAACATCAAAAGAGAAAGATAATTCCCCTCAAGCTATGAGGATATACTCTGAGCATCCTTTCCAGCCAATGTGGAAGAGAGGGACATAGGCCACTGTGCAGCTAGCTTGAGGTTTCAGGACTGGCCTGCTGGCCCCCTGTCAGCCAGGCTGGGGCACACCATGGTCTGCTGTCCCAGATCCCCAGAGCCGGACACATCCCTGTGCAGGCTGTGAAACAGGCACTTTCGGCCCTGACGGCTCCCCTAGCCCTGTCTTCAATGTTGGGCCTGGCATAGCCCTACCCTCAGGAGCAAAGATTCATGATTTCATTCATAATTTGTATCAGATGTTGAAACTTGGCCTTTGGGATCCTGAGCCAGCTGTCACGCTCCACTACCCCCGAGAGCTTGCAGGAATGTTCCAGGGGAGCTTGATCTGTGTACCCCCCACCCCCCAGCTCCCACTGTAGCCTTCCTCTGGTTTCTTAAAATGCCTTTCAGCATTTACCTGGTGCAGAGCCCCAGCAGCTTGGGAGCTTATCGAGCATGTCAGATGTGGTGACAGAACCCAGGGTGGAGGGGCTGCTGAGGAACACACGCTCCTGAGAGGGCACACAGCGAGACCCTCAAGAACGCCCTGGGCGCCACGAAATCCAGACGTTAGATCCCTCTGCGCTGAGGCCATGTCGGCACAATGCTGTTTCATACAACAGGCTTTATTGAGGTGGTGTTAGTACAGTCAGTACTGTTGTTCTACTTTTCAAAAAGAAGTCCCATTTTCTTGGATTCTCAAGTGCATTTTTCCCGAACCTGCTGTGACACTAGACTTCCTAAACCAGGTTAGAAATGAAATTATGTACTAATGGCAAACATTTAAACCTTAAATGTTTTTAAAAAATAGGAATCAGAATATAAAAATTCACAAGGTAATGTAATTTTCATAGTTCAAACCCGACATGGTTACCAAAGCTAGTCAGTTAAGTGGGCAGCTGAAACTTAAAGCCCCTGAACATTTCAGAAACACCAGCCCTCCCTCCTTAAAAATCTTCAGGAATGAGGCTTGGAAGAAGCTTAGCTCTGTGATACAGCCTGTGTGTGTGTGTGGGGGGGGGGCCCTGGTACCTTTCTTAACCCCTTGGGCTCCCATTGGGAGCTGATTGATTTCTGCCACCCAGAAACCCTCCCTAACAGGTAGGATTCTGGTCACTTTTACTGAGGGAAGCAGGGGACCCGACCAGGTATGGTTTGAGAGGTTCCTTACCCAGTTCTTTTAGGTGTTTGGGAGTAAGAACCCTACCAAGAATCCCATCCAATATCTTAAAGTGTCACTTGGGCAGGTTTGGGTTGCATCTCTTTTTGAAAGTTAAGGTGAGCAGTCCAATAGCCTGCTGTGTTTGGAGAAGCTGTAGGGAAGGGAGGGGGACTGACAAGGAGCCTAAGGTTCACCAGCCATTTTCAATTGGGAAGTCTGAAGTTGGGCAGAAAGGCAACAGCTCCACAAGATCAGGTAATGAATGACCCAGGTTCACACTTGTACAGGGAAGTGGGCTGGCTTGGTGGGGGGTTGGGGGTGAGGCCTCGGGCCACTGGGAAAGCAGCCATCCTTGCGTGGGCAAGAGTGTCTCCTGTCCTTCCCCATCACTGATCTTAGCTTGATCCACTCAGAGGTGGAACTGGGGACTGAGGGGATGGGGGGAAGGGTGGATCCTGTCTGTCTCCTGTAGGGGAGCATTGCTTGGGGAAAATGCAGAAGCATCCAGAGCCAGTTCATTCCAGAGGGACCTGTTGGCACCCTTTCCCTCAAAGACTTAGCCTCCTGCGCCCTAATCCTGCTTAGAACAGGAAATTGGAACCAGAGGGTAGGAGGAGAGGAAGCCCCCACAGATTAGACCCTGTAGTACACACATACCCATCATCTGGTTCTTATTAAGGAAAAGCAAGCCGGAGCCGCCTCATCCCCAAACTTGTGTGCACCTCATTGGCCAAACAAGAGGCTCTCTGCCTTCAGAATACTTTGGTTAGGGTCAACAAGGGTCCCCTTACAATTTTGTGTGAGAAAATTAGCATTCCCCCACACACCCCCAACAGGTGAGAGGGAAAAAGGGAGGGGCTCTCATGTTTGGTGATTGGTGATCGGTGATCCTGCCCCACGCCAACGCCTGTGCTAAACACGTCACAGTTTGATCTCTCTGGCATGTGGCTAGTCCCTAAGGACTGTGTGGCTGCCTTTATGCTGTTAGCAGCAGCACAAGAGATGGAGATAAATGGAGGAGCTCCTTCCTGCCCAAGACCTGTGCCCTGCTCTCACAACCAACTTTTCCCATGGCTGCAGCTGGAGCAGTAAAAGCAGTTGACCCTTCCCAGGAGCCTGCAGAGGGCCAGCTGGGCCACCATGGATGGGCCTGAGGCACCACGTAACCACCGGGGTTGTAGTCTAGGCAAGGTGTCCATGCTGGCCACCTTGATGGGTTCCCTTGTCTCCCTTTCTGCTGGTCCTTGAGGGAAGCCTCTGCCACATGCTGGAGATCCCAGGGGAGTTGAAGGAGCCCCAGCCATGGACTATGGGGGAGGCCATGCCCCATTCCTCAAGCAGGTGCCATCTTGGGCCCAGTAGGAAGGGCAGGCTTGGGAGTGTGTCTCCCCAGTGGGTGGGGAACTCAGCCCCTCCCTGCTCTGACTCAAAGCCCAGGTCTCATGAGGGGGCCCGGCTCTCCTACAGCTGAGTTGAGTGTCCTGGGGCCCTGCCTCCAGACCAGGCAGGGCAGGAATCGGGGTGCAATCCCGACATGGCACAGATACTTGGGTGAGAGATGGGGCGAGGAACTCTGGCCAGCCTCTTCCACAAACAATCTCAGCCCACATGTAAGCAGGTCAGTCTCCTCTGGCCAAGGCCACAGCCGCCTCTGTTCCACCTTTGGGTTTTTCTTTACGTGGGGGTTCTTTGTAACTGAAAAAGTCTCTCTACCACTAAGGAGCAGGAGGCCAGGGCAGCAGGGCCCCCTTGCGGGTTATGTGGGGCAGAGTAAGAATCCTGAAAAGGAAGAGTGGATGTACTCAGTGGAGTAGAGGCCGTTGGCCTGGTCTGAGGGCATCTGCACCCAGACCTGGTCGTTGGGCCTCAGCTGGAGCACAGCCCCGCCAGATGCCTGGTCCAGGTAGCCCTTCTTGTATTCGTCGTAGGTGTAGGTGGCCGGCACGTTGTTCTTGTACAGGGCCACCCACACACTGGTGCCCTTGACATGCACATGGTAAGCAAAGTAGTAGACACCGCCCACAGGGCAGGTAAAAATGCCAGTGGCGGGGTTGTAGCCGCTGTGGCCATTGTAGAGGGTCCTGTCGAACTTCACAGGCATGCCAGAGGCAGGGAAGGGCGAGGTGAGCACCGCGGTGAAGGCAGGCGTGGCGTGGGCTGACAGCTCGCCCAGCCCAAACTGTGGCTTGCCCCCCTTGCCTAGCACCGCACCCTCCACGCCACCATTGGGCAGGTGCAGGCCTGCAATACCAGTCTCATCAAAGGCCCCAGGGGCGCCGGGAGGGCCAGGAGGCCCTGGAGGCCCCGGAGGGCCTGTAAGTCCAGGGGAGCCAGGGACCCCAGGGGGTCCTATGGGCCCAGCCATGCCAGGCTCCCCCACCTTCCCTTCTCCAGGGGCCCCTGGCAGGCCTGGTTCACCCTTAAGGCCTGGCAAACCCTGGGGCCCAATAGGGCCAGCTGGGCCCTGGAGTCCTGGGATTCCTGAGGGGCCCCTCAGACCAGGCTGCCCAGGGAGCCCCAAATCACCCTTCTGCCCTAGGGCTCCTGCCACGCCTGGTCCTCCAGGGCGGCCAGTAATACCAGGCTCCCCCTTGGGCCCAGTTGGTCCAGGTGGCCCATGGGCCCCAGGAAGCCCCCTCTCTCCTGGGAGCCCAGGTTTCCCAGACAGGCCATTGGGCCCTTGGTCACCCCGAATGCCAGGCACTCCTG